GTTCGTTCGTTCGTTCGTTCGTTCGTTCGTTCGTTTCGTTCGTTCGTTCGTTCGTTCGTTCGTTCGTTTAGTTCGTTCGTTCGTTCGTTCGTTAGTTCGTTCTTCGTTGTTCGTTCGTTCGTTCGTCGTTCGTTCGTTCGTTCGTTCGTTTCGTTCGTTTTCGTTCGTTCGTTCGTTCGTTTCGTTCGTTCGTTCTTCCGTTCGTTCGTTCGTTCGTTCGTTCGTTCGTTCGTTCGTTCGTTGTTCGTTCGTTCGTTCGTTCGTTCTTCGTTCGTTCGTTCGTTCGTTCTTGTTCGTTCTTTCGTTCGTTCGTTCGTTCGTTCGTTCGTTCGTTCGTTCGTTCGTTCGTTCGTTCGTTTCGTTCGTTCGTTCGTTTCGTTCGTTCGTTTCGTTTTCGTTCTTCGTTCGTTCGTTCGTTGTTCGTTCGTTCGTTCGTTCGTTCTTGTTCTTCGTTTCGTTCGTTCGTTCGTTTCGTTCGTTCGTCGTTCGTTCGTTCGTTTCGTTCGTAGTTAGTTAGTTAGTAGTTAGTTAGTTAGTTAGTTAGTTAGTTAGTTAGTTGGTTAGTTAAAATACACTTACACCTATTGTGCGTTCACAACAAAGTCGCTTGTGGGAATCGGACACTGTCTACAACACTACCGACATAATCTTTAAAAGCTCCTTTCCTTCTGATGGAAAGAATAACAGAAACGTATATTTTGCAGTTTAAGTTTTAAATTTACAATATCTTTAACCTATTTTGTAAATTTAACAAAGTATTTGCTACATATTCAATTAATTATTTTCCCATTTCCCTTTATTTACTTTCACTCTTCACTACATACATACATAGGAAAAACCCCATTAAATTCATCAATTTTCTAGTGAATTAACAAAAAAAAAAATAAACTGTAAAATATAAAATTAAACATATTGTATCTTTTCACAAGCAATCTGTGTGACAATGTGTCTAGGAAAATTTTAACATGCAATTTCGATTGAAATGTGAAATGTGAAAAGTGATTTATATTAAATTCCATATAAATAAAAACACTCACTAATTAATTAAATGAATCACATAAATATGCATGTAAAGCATTATATCAATATGATTTTTCACAAAAAAGGAAATCATAATAAATTTATATTTAAATAAAATTAAAAAAAAAATTGCAATTTTCTTCTATTGTTCTATTGCAATCCGTTGGCATTCTACATTTATTTGTCGTATTGTGTTTATAAGGAAAATTATTTAATTTTTTTTTTTTCATATAAATATATTTTGTGTTCCTGGACATGATGATGAACGCATTTAGAGTCAAGCCAGGCCAGTCTAGTATATGTATCTGTCTGTCGATTGTGGGCTGTCAGTATAAATGTTTTATTTCTTCTTTTTACACACAATTTCCTTACAGGTGCAATTTGTTAAAAATACTTAAAAATGTACTCTTACGTACACGGGTTATTTTTTTGTTCTCTCTTCTTTCGTACATATATACGTACGTAATGTGTTTATATGTAAGAAGAAAATGTGTCTTCTACATGTCAACCACCCACTAAAAGTATAATGACCATAAAATATAAGAAAAGTACAATAAAAAAACAATGTATATTAAATACTGTGGAAAAATTATTCTCAGAAAATTTTATAATAAATAAAATACGACATAAAAACAAATTTTGCATGTAACGAAACTTTCTATGAATTCTAGAAGAAAAAAATTTATTTAAAAAATAATATATATTGAAAATTTATGGGGAAAATTGCTAGATTCTAATAAAGATTTGTTTTTTTTTCTCATTTTTTTGTAAATTTCACTTGCATGTCAGACAATTGGGAGACTTGTCAAATTGTTCTATTGGGAATTTAAATTTGTTTTTATATGACGTTTCATTAGTTGACAAATGTCATTGAAAGAAATATTGTTTTAAATTGCATAGATTTTTAAGACATTTCGAAGAATTTTTTAAATCATTTTTCCTACAGAGACATTTATAATTGAAAAGTATTTAATATTTACTTTTAATATTTTATTAACGGTTTACCCCCATATACATAAACAACATTTTATTTTATAAAAGGTTTAAAAATCAAAATTAACATAGAAAATTTAATTTATATTTGTTTATGAATATGACCTTTCTTAAACATTTGATGAAATTATTTTAATGAATTTTTAATAAAAATAATTATAAACCTAGTCCATTATCGGGCCTGTGGTGTACTCTTTGCTAGAGACTCTGTTTGGAATCGTTCACAACCTTTGGAGCCATCCTTTATTGATTATATCTTGGAAAGAATAACCTGTATATGAATACAGATAATAAAGTTATGCCTGTAGCCCGCCACTGGGTCTGTTATGCGCTCCTTTTCAAAATAATTATCCTCCTGGAAGTAACTCCTTACAATTTTCTAATCAATGTCCGGTATAACATCGCTCCCAAGGTGTTTGTAACTAATTTCGTTAAAGGCTTCACAATGGCTGAGAAATTGTTCCCATGACCATATTTTTTAGTTTATCTTGAGTATTTTATTATTACGCTAGACAATTTATATATCAAATGAGAGGTCTTTCGAATACCTTTCCTTTAGTGCATATATGTTTATACATAGTTTGTTAGAACCTCCAACTTCGTGTTAGCTTAGTTAGTTTGAAAGAAGGATATATATACGAAGAAATATCGGTCCTGTTGTGCACTCCTTTAACAGGGCCTCAGGTGCGAATCTAGCCCATGATCTCCGGTCTACCAAACTAGAACACTAACCTACCGGAGGCCACCATCAGCTTCGCAAGTAGGGAATATAATTCTACGACCTTATAAACTAGGATGAAATCTTTGTAACGCACAATAATATTGGTGCTATACCAACCTTAGCAATACCATACCAATCGACTTAGAATCATTTTCTGAGTCGATTTAGCTATGTCCGTCCGTCCATGTAAACCTTGCAATCAAACTACAGGTCGCATTTGAAATTTGATATATGATCTTCTATTGTCTCAGTGACGAAGCCTATTGAAAATGGTTATGATCGGTCCCTTATTTTACCTAGCCCCTATACAACTGAATCCCCGAAAAGGGCATGTAATCAAAGTCCTGATCGCAATTTTAAAGATAATTCAATGAAATTTTGCACATGATCTTCTATTATACTAGAGACGAATCCTATTGAAAATGGCTACCATCGGTCCAATATTTGACAATACAACTGAACCCCCGAATAGGGCTTTTAAGTTCATAATTATGTTCATTATACTCGTATCTTGACAAAAAGCTGCAAAACCAAGTTCTATACTAGCTTTCATGACCCGGTCGGCCTCGCCCGACAATAACTTCTTACTTGTTGTTAGATAGAACTGTCTTTAAACCCCCCCAACTACAGATCTAAATATACAACTATTTTAGCTTCTTTAATCTTTTTTCAGTAAGTATTATGGGATTTACCGATTTCTATGTTGACTTAAGTCCATTTGATAATCTTATTGGCAGCATGATTCATAAGTTAAAGTAACTTTAAAAACATTTAACTAGAATTAAATAATTTAAAGCAAAAATATGTGATAAAGCTTTAGCCGAAAGGTGTGAATTCCCCAAATCCATTAGAAAAAGGGAATTTTTGGAAATTAATAAAAATCAAGAAGTCGTAGTTTTTTTTTAAATATAAAAACAAGTCGTAATATTTATTCAAAATACCTAATATTTGACAAAGATGTCAATTAGATTTTCAAAACCTGCAAATGTTTAGCTACACATACACATGTATGCATGTATGTAGTAGAGTGGCGTAGTGTAGTAAAGTGTTGTGCATTTTTTTATTGATTTTAAATGTAGAATAATTGAAACATTTAATTAACATTTTCTATCTGCATAATTTCAACTAGATTTGCATGTTATTAACCAAGATTTCTAAAACGCAAACCCCACATACAGACACACACACACTCACACGTACATAATGCAAATTGCACGAGTAGGAGGTAAACAAATAAATCTATAATCTTAGAAGTTTATAATTCTATATCTATATACAGGGAGCTGCATATATGTACATATGTATGTACATACATACAGCGATATAGATAGATACAAAATGCGCAAAGTAAAGCAGTTAATATATTCCACAAGATATTATATAGATACATATGTATGTACATTTGTATGTATGTATGTAAGTATCTTTGTAGGAATTTGTTTTTTTTTTAAGGCTGTGTTGTGTATTCAGTACATTTATATGGTTTGTACTGTGTAAATATTTAACTTTTTTATTTAATGGATTTTTTTTAATAAACAATATTTAAATCAATTTATATTTTTTATGGGTTTTCTCTATATACAAATGATTTTTACACTTGTACACAACAAGTATCCATCCATCCATCTCTACATATGTTCATATGTATCTATACATATGTATAAGGCTGGTGTTATTGTTGTTGTTATTGCAATTTCTGATGTTATTATTTCTTAATGTTTTTGTTATTTCCATTTTTTTATTAATATTATTATTAATTTGCGAAAGTAGCTGCATTTGACAATGAAGTATTTTCTAAGTCATTGACCTTTTTTTTAGTAATCTTATCATAAGCGTTTTTTTTATATATAATTTTTTGAATTATTATTATTAATAATTTGTAGGGTATAACTTCTATACTTTGCTAGAAATATAATGTCTAAATTTTCTATGTATTTGCATACAAAATTACAAATACATCTAACTACAGGTGTGTACATGTATAAGGAATGATGATAGATAGACTTTATGTATACACAACAAATTTTTTATTTATTTATTTTATTTTATATTTTTGCTAAAAATGCACTTAATTTCAATTTGAAAGTCCATGTTTGCACTAGAGTGATAATGATAAAAGGAAACCAATGACTGATAATGTTCTAAAAAATTATTATTAACTTGCTAAACAAATAGAAAGTCTGCAGGCTTATTGCCAAATTGTCAAATTTTCATTAAAACGTAAATACAACTAATTGTAATATATTTTCTACTTTCTCTTTCGCAGACCAAGAAACATTCACCCGGTCACATTAAACGACCCATGAACGCATTTATGGTCTGGAGTCAAATGGAGCGTAGAAAGATTTGTGAAAAGACTCCCGATCTACACAATGCTGAGATCTCAAAGGAATTGGGCCGTAGATGGCAACAGTTGGGTAAAGAGGAGAAACAGCCCTATATTATTGAGGCGGAAAAGTTGCGCAAACTACACATGATCGAGTATCCCGACTATAAATATCGGCCACAAAAGAAACTCTCCAGGGCCAATTCGGCTGGTGGCAAAAGTACCAATGGCGATAGTCATAATGACAGCAACAATGAATTGAATTCCTCTTCCTCCTCCACCAATTCGCAGAGATCGCAAAACTCTGCTAGTACCACCGGCCCCAAGGCACCACGTAAAACCAAAAGGAATTCCACCAGCAGCAGCACTACAACTAGCAATTCCCTTAACTATGCCCCATCACCACCGTTTAAGAAACAAAGACACAACAGTACCAAATCTCTTAATCTCAGTACAGATTATGAAGATGACGATGTGATAACTTCGGCCAATTTAGATATTGACAGTAGTTATTTGAATGCAACAGCAACTGCTGGCAGTGATTACAATACAATTACCTCAAGCAATTTTTACACCTCAGATGATCTGAATTCGGATCTCAATAAGAATGTGATGCTACATGTTACCAATATGGATGACAATCAACAACAACAACAACAAAGACTTCCAGGTTTGGCAAGTCTAACGGCTGGTACGTTACACTTCAAAACCGAAACGGATAACAACAAGTATGAAGATAGTTTTTTGAAATTAATAAATCCTGATAGTTATTTTGAAAATTCGGTGGATTTGAAAGAAACAGACTGTGATGGCTTAGCGGATGTTTGTCCCAAATTAGGCCAATTGATAACATTGATAAATCCTTCCACGGACCTGCATACTAATACAACGCCCAATAACAACACTCACCAACACCAGCAACAGCAACACCACCAACAGCAGCAGCAGCACCATCAACAACAACAACAACGTTATGTAACTGATCTCATTGATGATAATGGCGGTGGCAGCATTGTTAACAATGATGCCAACTTGCATCCAGCCAGTCAGCAGTATTCAAATCTTAAATTCTCCCTCTTTAACTGCGATAATCTTAACAATGCCGACCTGCAGTCAACAACTGCCCATACATCTAGTAATTTACTTATATGTGATGATATTCTTAGAATGGACGATGAATCGTCCCAACAGCAAACGGACCACCACCACGAATGTTACGCCACACTCTCATGCACAAGTGCTAATTGTAAAAATAACAATTGCAACAACAACAACAAAACAAACCAAAATCAACAGAATAGTGCTAAAGACAACGCCGATCTACAGCAGCAGCAACAACAACAACAACAGCACAGCCATCATCATCAGCATCACCACCATCATCAACATCATTTAAACAGCAATGGTGCTGGCGGAGGGGCCGGCGATGGCAACAATGATTCGACACAAATGTTCTCTATACCTCCACAGCAGACGGTAACGATGAACATAGAAATACACAACAGCCTTGGACACTGCGTAAATAAGGATGACTCAGCAACATTCCATCTAGACGATAATATTGCCAACGCCACATCCTCCAATGCTATGCCCACTACGGTGACAATACCCTCCTGCTCGAGCGATGAGTGTTGCATGCTTAGCCAGCATTCAGCCCATCACCACTCACCACACATGGGTTTCTGTGGCCATTCGGCCTTTGCTGGCACCTCTGTGGAGGCAACAGTTAGTAGTATTTTCAATCCCGATCACAATTGTGATTCGGAGGCCATCATTGCAGCGGGCCACCAACAAAGTGATCTCAACTATACGACATTTGATACAAATCGTGCACTTTTCGATTTTACTCATGATGATTTACCACCATCTCAATCTATAAGTAGCCATTTAGAATTTAATTATAGATTCTAGTTTCCAAAACTGAATTAAATACTAAATATTTAAAAAAATATAAAAAAAAAGAAAAACAAACTCTAGTTTTAAGCGTGTCTCCGCCGAGTTTACATAATGGCTCGATTTTGTGTTGGATTGGTTTTATAGCGTTAGGAATTTATTTTCAAAAGAAAATGGCCACAGTTTAACCAACAAATTAAAAGTTTTTAACCTTAACTTGTAGCCATAGTTTAAACAGCAATTTGTACCTTAAAGGCTGCCATTTTAACTCAATTTTCTTAAAACCAAATTTAGCAGTTGTTTTTAATGTTTTCCTCTTTTACGGGTTACGAGTTAAAGGAAAGTTTAAACTTAGTTTAAACCTTGTATAGTTGTGATATATTTTATTGTTGGTTAAACTAGGAACTTTAGTAAATTAAACTGTGATGAAACTTTGTTGTTAGTATAAAAAAAATGAGGGAGTTTTCCTAGAAAAGTATTCCAATCTAAAGGATTAAAAAAAAGTAAACTTTAAAGAGCTGTTTTTCGATGCCAGTGTAAAACGGTTAAAGTGGCATATAAATAAAATATTTTTTTACAAAACTAAATTAGTGTTAGAAAACTACAACAACAAAAGTAATAAAAACTATAAATTTGAAATAATTTCAAAACATATTATCCACCCCCCCCCCATCTACATCTCTAAGTGTATTTTTTTTATATAAAATTTTAGTTTTTAACAAAAATATAAATGTCATACGAGTATAAATACTTTATTGCTAAATATGAAAAAATTAGTTTATACATATATTCTTATTAATATATTTACATGCTTAAGTTTTTAAAATTATATACAAATATGAAAGAAAAAAAAATTAATTTTAAGTTTTAAATATTACTAAATATACATTAAAAAAAAACAACCGTGCATAGTTATACATACATACAAACATATATTCATATATTAAAGAAATTAATTATTATACATTAAATAAAAATACCTAAATATAATTTAAATTTAATTACAACTTAAAAATTTTATTATGATTTTCTTCTTTTCTCCCAGAATTTGAAGTGAAAAAAATTAAATCCCTAATGTCCTCAGTTATAAAAAATTCAAGTCTTCTTTAATTGCTTTGAAAAAGAAAACCTAAAAATTTTATAAAAAAAAATTATTAAGAAATATTCTTATACCCATGTAGTAGTTTTTATAAACATTAAATTTTCTATTAGATTATCCTTTCCATTAACTTCCTTAACCATCCCCCCAAAAAAAACCCGCCCTTCCCTATTTGTAGTACTGCATAAAAATTTATTATATATACTAAAGGAAAAACCACAAAAAAAACTTATTTCAATAAAATTATTTTCAAATAAATTTGAATTGAAATTTATATTAAAAAAAAAATATATGAAAAATTACACAAAAATTATAAAAAAAAAACAATTCGTTTTTCTTAATGATCATGGAATGAGACATTTTCAACAAGGTTGTATTTTTAGTTTTAAAAATATAAATTATAATATGGCGGTCAATGTTATGTGTTTTTGTTGCATTTCCTCATATTTTGTGCGTTAAAACAGATTACCAGAGATTCTTAAAATGTTGGAAATAGTTGTAGTAATAAAAATATTGCGTTTTATAATTTGTACAATTGTATGCAGTTGTGGTCGTCAGCAATAGCAGCTTAACTGGAAAATTAGACTTTTAAATAATCACTCATTTATACTTTGAATATGTTATGAAATTTCTTAAAGAACTAGTATTTACAATTTATGAGAATTTCAGTAATAAGATCAAGGTCCAAATTACCGCCTATATGATCAAATAAGCTTTTATATTGAAATCCCATTTCAGTAACGAAATGAAGCTAAGACGTGCTGGATTTCTTGTTCGATATCGAGTGCCATCTCCAGCATATATGAGGTAATTGGGACCCTGATTTACATAATTGAGATTCATATGTTTCGCATCAGAATTTAAACTAAATCTTTACTTAACAAATGGATGTTAAAACATGAGTTTCAGTTTTGACGTTTAAGATATAAAGATATAGTCTTGACTATAGATCAGTCTATAGTCTTGACTATAGATCACTCTATGTTAGTTAGTTGGTTAGTTAGTTAGTTAGTTAGTTAGTTAGTTAGTTAGTTAGTTAGTTAGTTAGTTAGTTAGTTAGTTAGTTAGTTAGTTAGTTAGTTAGTTACTTAGTTAGTTAGTTAGGCCTCTATCGGGCCTGTTGTGCGCTCTTTTACCAGTGCCTCAGGTGGGAATCGAACCCACCACCATCGGTCTACCAGACTAGAACACTAACCTACCGGAGGCCAGATCAGTCTATAGTCTTGACTATAGATCAGTCTATAGTCTTGACTATAGATCAGTCTATAGTCTTGACTATAGATCAGTCTATAGTCTTGACTATAGATCAATCTATAGTCTTGACTATAGATCAGTCTATAGTCTTGACTATAGATCAGTCTATAGTCTTGACTATAGATCAGTCTATAGTCTTGACTATAGATCAGTCTATAGTCTTGACTATAGATCAGTCTATAGTCTTGATTATAGATCAGTCTATAGTCTTGATTATAGATCAGTCTATAGTCTTGACTATAGACCAATCTATAGTATTGACTATAGATCAATCTATAGTTTTGACTGTAGATCAGTCTATAGTCTTGACTATAGATCATTCTATAGTCTTGACTATAGATTAGTCTATAGTCTTGACTATGGATCAGTCTAAAGTCTTTACTATAGATCAGTCTATAGTCTTGAATATATATCAGTATATAGTCTTAACTATAGATAATTCTGTAGTGCTGACTATAGATTAGTCGATAATCTTGACTATAAATTAATCGATAATCTTGACTATAGATTAGTCGATAATCTTGACTATAGATTAGTCGATATTCTTGACTATAGATCAGTCTATAGTCTTGACTATAGATCAGTTTATAGTTTTGACTGTAGATCTGGGCCCAAATTATGGCATACGATATCGATCGAAATCTCCATTTAGATTCAGTTGAGATTTCGATCGATATCGTATGCCGTAATTTGGGGCCAGTCTATAGTCTTGTCTGTAGATCAGTCTATAGTGTTGACTATAGATTAGGCTATATTGTTGACTATAGATCAGTCTATAGTCTTGACTATTGATCAGTTTATAATCTTGACTATTAATCAGTCTATAATCGTGACTTTGGAACAATCTAATGATAAATATTATTTTTGAAGACCAATACCCACTGTTTTAAATAGTATCATTATACAGCATTATATTTTAAAAGTTTTAGGGCCACTGGAAATTAGTTTATTAGAATTTTGTCAAGCCTCAAAGTATACTCTATATTTTTTATGATAATTGTAACAACACACTTTTTTGCAGCAATTATGGATATTGTAGGTCGACAATTTGTTGTCAGTTTGCAGAATGTCAAGGTACTTGTGAAAACCATTTGACATTTTGCCGAATTCCTTACGCAAAATTTGGTGAATTGGTCGACGCTGTCATCTCATATTCATGTTGAGTTTGCAAAGTCTAAAAATTTCAGTTAAAACTCGGAAAATTTTGCTGCTTTCAACACACAAACATGTGTATTCCTTATAGGGACAGATTTTACTGATCAATTTTGAAAAACAATATCCCAAATGGACGAAAGCTTTCCCAGAGTTTATTTAGCGGAACACAATAAAATATTATCTTTAGGAAAGAAATTTTAAACTAATTACCGCTTTTTCGCGCTAATTGCCTTTAGTGCTGACTTTAATGATTGATTATAGAGGTATAAAAAACGGAAAACTTATTCAGTTTAAAAGAATTTTAACAATTATTTACTTATTTATTGTTATTAAATAAGTGTTGAGTAGTGTGACTGTTTAGAAATGAATTAAGCAATTGAAGTATTTTTTGTTTAAAGTGGCGTAAGCAAACATAAAGTAATTAATGAATTCTACTTAAAGAATGTGGAGAATTTTTAATTTTTGTAATATTTTTAAAAATAATAGGTTAACTGCCATATTTTTATTCTTTTTGACAAAAAGCCTGCAGGGTATGCCTCTAAGCCACGCATGGTCGGTCACTGAAATATGAAGAGACTATGGCAGTATCAAGTGGTTAGCTATATTACGCATTCATACCCCCTTTAGCACTCGCTACTACATCCCCAAAATTCAGTCTATAGTTTGAATATTGTCCATTCAACTTTCTCGACTATTGTTCTATCTATAATCTTGACCAAGTCCAGTCTATAGTCTGATAATAGTTTATTCTACAGTCTTGACTAAAGTATCTTATATAGACCAGCCTATAGTCTTTACTATTTTTCAGTTTATATTATCAGCTATAGTCCAGTCTATATATATTATAGTCCATTCTACAGTCTTGACTAAAGTCCAGTCTTTTGTCCTGACTGTAGTCTATAGTCTAATTAAATTAAAGTCCTATAATCTTAACTTTAGACCAATATATAGTCTTGGCTAGGAATAGTTTATAATTCTATCTATAGTCTTGACTATAGTCCAACCTATACTTTTCACTATAGTCCAGTCTGGTCAAAATTAAGTCTATAGTATAATTAATGTCCTTTCTACAGTCTTGACTATAGTTCACTAAATCCAGTATATAGTCTAATCCTGTAGTCTTTACTATTGTCTAACATATAGTCTTAACTTTAGACCAATATATAGCCTTGACTAGTCCAATCTATACTTCCCACTATTGTCTAGTCTGGTCTAAATTCAGTCTATAGTATATTTAATGTCCATTCTACAGTCTTGACAATAGTTCACTATAGCCTATAGTCTTGAATAAAGTCCAATCTATAGTCATGACTGGGAATAGTTTATAATCCTATATATAGTCTTGGCTATAGTCCAATCTATAGTTCACTATAGCCTATAGTATTGTACAAACTCCAATCTGTAGTCATGACTATAGTTTAGTTTATAGTCTTCGCTATATTTAGTCCTCTTTGTTATGTTGTCTATAAACTTATATATAGTCTTAACTGTAGTCCAGTCTATAGTTTCCACTGTAGTACAGTTTATAATCTAGACTAAATCCATTCCATTCTACTGTCCACTATAACTTATAGTCTTAAATAAAGTCTAATCTATAGTCATCACTATTATCTTAACTTTTGACGAAAGCTTGAAGGTTGAGCTTTCTAACGCGTTATATCTTTCCCCACCTCTTCAAAGTACATAGTTTCCAAAAAATCTATTTCTCCGGTTTCACTAATCAGTTTTTTCCCAATTTCCTCATTAAATTTTTAATGATTTCAACATGTAAATTATGTAAAAAAATAAAACCAATTTTTAAATAAAAATTTATCTTTTACATCACTTCAATATATATATTTAGCATTAATTAAAAAAAATCTGCAACTATTACAATAATAATCTAAAGTTAAACTTAAGTTTAAAAAAAATGTTTATTTGTTCAGTTTTGTTTATGATGTTTCGACTTTTATTTTAAATATTTTGTATAAAAAATTTTATGTTTTTTTATATATATATTGTGACTCTTCTGACCTTAAACCTTAAATTAAAATAAAAATAATGTAGAATTTATTTTCTTTTGTAAATAAAATATTAAGCCCAAAACAAACAAAAAAATATGCTATTTACTAGTTCTACTTATTAACTAAAAAAATATATAATAATAATTAATAAACAACAGTTTAAAGAAATTTTATATAAAAAATAAAATATTTATAAATGAATGTATGGAGTTTTTTTTTTATACAATTTGTGACGCCAAGTCGTTTTAATCGTTAATTAAAATAATAAAATTATAGTTTTTTTGATCTTAAAAATGTCTTTATTTTGTGCTCGTTACGGATCACAGTGAACTGTTGGTTTAAAGAAAAGCAGAATTATACAATTCTTGTTTCCTCCTCTTTTCTTTTAATTGACATAATAAACATGATGATATTTTATAAGTACAGGGTGTGAAAAACACATGAAGGGATCTAGGGGAGGGGGAAATGTAGGGGGAATCAAACTGTAAAGTTTGAAAGAAAACTTAACAAACTATAAATATATTTATAAAAAAACATATGCCACCCACTTTAAAAATTTTAAAATATTTGTAATAGAGTTTTGCGTATTTCACTTGCCATAACCCTAAAATATTAATTCGCATAAACTTTGACTCTTTTTCGTTTTACTTTTTTTAAATTTATACAGAAGCAGTTATAATAATAAGTACTTTGCTTTCTTTTTAATAAATTGTATACAAATATAGTATATATGTATATAGTAGACCTAACTTATTTTTACATAGCAATAGAAAAGAGAGTGATCGTATGAAGGAGGAGGCTGTAGGGAAGTTTGGGAAATGTAATGATGATATGTTTTTTTTTCTCTAATATTTTTGTTTTTGTTCCTTCGCCTTCTTTTTCTGCATATCGATTTGTGCGGTGGCCAAATAATTGGAACCCTCTAAATGCAAAGTACTTTGTCTGTGAGAGTTACGTATTAAACAAAATACCGATATTAGAAGGAGTAAAGCGCCGAGTGCAAAGAATACTATTATCAAAATAACACGTATTTTGGGAGGTACTGTAGCGGCAAAGTTCATTAGGTCGGTGATTTCATCGGGCAGACTGTCAATACCTTCTTCAAACCACAATATGGGGAAAATGATATCGGGGAAATTGGCCACTTGTTTAATATCGAACACTTGACTGACGGCCAAGTTAATTTGTACGCGAGCACGTGCTCTTAGGGTGGTACCCATATCCTGGAGGGAGAAAAAGAAGAAATAATATTGTTATAAGTAGTGTTTGCATGAGAATTTAGGGTTGTTAAAGTCCAGTCTAAACCATAACCCTGTTTATAGTATAAGCGTTAGTCCAGTCTATAGCCGAAAAAATAGTCTAGGCTATGGACTGGACTACAGTGTACTATAGTCTAGACTATTATAGGATTATAGTCTATTCTATAGACTAGACTAGGGTTCATCCTATTATCATGTCTATAGTTTAAATTATAGTCCAGTCTATAGTCTACAATATAGTTCAGTATGTAGTTTACTCTACACTACAACCTATAGACTAGACTATAGTCCAGTCTATAGTCTACACTATAGTCCAATCTATAATATAGACTATAGTCCAGTCTATAGTCCATTCTATAGTCCAATCTATATGTATAGACTAGATTATAGCCATAGTCCTGTCTTTAGTTTGAACCATAGTCCAGTCTATAGTTTAGACTTTAGTCCAGTCTATAGTATAGACTTTAGTCCAGATTATAGTCTAGACTTTAGTCCAGTCTATTCTAGACTTTAGTCCAGTCTATAGTCTACACTATAGTCTAGTCTATAATCTAGATTGTAGTCCAGTCTATAGTCTATACTACAGTCCAGTCTATAGTCTACATTATAGTCCAGTCTATAGTCTACATTATAGTCCAGTCTATAATCTAGACTATAGTTCAGTTTATAATCCATTCAATAGTTCAATCTATGGTCTAGACTATTGTTCTGTGTGTAGACTAGAATATAGCCATAGTCGTGTCTATAGCTTAGACTTTAGTCCAGTCTACGGTTTAGAATTTAGTCCAGTTTATAGTCTAGACTTTAGTCCAGTCTATAATCTAGAGTATAGTTTAGTCTATTGTCAAATCTTTAGTCTAGACTATCGTCTAGTGTATAGTCTAGATTACAGCCATAGTCCTGTCTATAGTTTAAACCATAGTCCACTCTATAGTTTATACTTTACTCCAGTTTATAATTTAGACTTTAGTCCCGACTATAGTCTAGACTTTAGTTCAGTGTATTCTAGACTTCAGTCCAGTCTGTTCTAGACTTAATCCAGTAGTCTAGCCTTTAGTCCAGTCTATAGTCTAGACTTTAATCCAGTCCATAGTCTAAATTTTAGTACAGTCTAGAGTCGAAACTTTAATCCAGACTATAGTTCAAATGATCTATTCATGAAACAAAAACTTACAGGTTGTACATCAATAAAAAGTTGATGTTTCTCCTTTTCTGGTGGTGAAATGCCATCAACAGCGGTACGCAAACTATCATCGGCCAAATAGAAATGGGGGAAACTTAACATAATAGGAGAATCTACAGAAAAACAACAACAAAAGTTAAAACAAATGCCGTTCCTTAAAACATTTCCTCTGTTCACAATTACCATATTGACACAACGAAACATTGAATAAACCATTTGGTGCACAGGAAGGCTGACCGGCAGGACAGAAACACATATTATCGGGATTTGATTCAACATCAGCGAACACATTGGTGGGTGGTGTAAAACGGAAACCCTTAACACCGGCCTTAGTCTCAACAGTTTTCTCATAGACTAGCGGTAAAAGACGACACAAGTCTTTGTCGTAAATGTGTAGAATGCGATCTTCTTGGATGTGAGGTGGGAAGATGGAGCCGTCAGTGCCATTTAAAACATTACATTCATCCGATAACCAATGAGGTAGATGTGAACGACCATTGTACTTGTCAATAATACCGAATTTGGTGACGTCATCGACGCCACTAAAGATAGTAACACGATCCTGAAACAAAGAATTTTTCATTTTAATAAAAAATTACCAGGAATGCGCCGTTTTCTTTGTTTAGCTATAATTTTTTTATTGTTTCCTCTTTTTTATTGCCGATTTAAGGAGGGAATTAAAATTGTAAATATTTTTCTGTGAAAATAAATACTTTATGGGTATTGTTGTAGTTTTGTTTAATAATTTACATTAATTAGCGTCTGTCATATGTTTTTGTGTGCAATTATTCTTTAAAAATATATATTTTTAAATTAAAGACTTACGTTAAACAATATTCTTTTGTTATAATAATGTAGCCGCCGGTGGTTAAGAAATTTTTTATTGTTTATAAAATTTTGCAAAATAACATAAAAATTTTTTGTGTAATTTTTAGCACCTACAAATATGTAGTTTTATTTTGAAATACTATTTTTAAATCAAAATAATATTTTACCGGTAAATAGTATAAACAAATATGGCAAAATAGATTAATGAATGAATGAGTTGGTTGTTTCATTTAAATGTTAAATTATTTATGTATTCATTCCATATTATTTAACAAAATTTTACTATATTTATGCAATACACAACATGGAAGTTTTATGAAATCACGTTTTCTTAAAAGATATTGAACATTTCGATAAAAAAAAGAAAGTCTTAATCATGATGACTCAAATTTTTTTATGATTTCTTTAAAACAAACAAATAAATTACTTAATACGTTAATTTGATATAAAATATATAATTTTGTTGAAAAATTTTATAACAACTGCTGCTCAATTATATTGTTAAGCCTCAGATTCTTTTATATCAGCTAACTATATAAATTTTTTTCTACAACTTACTGTTGATGTGCCATTTTTGCCATACATCAAACCAAACTCTTCATAGGGCAGTTTCTGTTCTTTGGGTACAACATCTTTGGCCAATTTTAAAAGAGGATCTTCATAGCCCCACAATAGCTGACCCACCGACACTTGTACAAAAGGCTTAATTTTCAAAATATCCATAATACTAGCCATGGCCAAACGTAAAAATCTAATAAAATCGCAAATTAATTAATAAACAAATAAATTTAAATAAACAAAATCTCTAAAAACTTACCTGGCAGCATGTTTACTTTGTGAAGTGGCACTCAACATGGGTATATTAGGTACAATAACCACATCATCATCGGAACCGGCAGATAATTCTTCACGGAAGATATAAATTTTCTTGAGATTATAACTCAAGGTGCCATTATCATTTTGTACAATATTAACTTTTTCCCAAGATTCTCTAAAATATAATTTCTTTTAGTCTTTATATTCATTTCAGTTCTTTTTTTCTTCAAAACTTACGTATACACATAGGGACCCACTTCATCCACAATAGGCTTAGAGCCATTACTTAAAAACTCATTGGCATTTGTGACATTATATACATAAACGGAAATTTTTGGTTCTACTGGTGGTTTCGACCACCAGCCATATGTTTGTCCACCCGGCTTTAAGGCCACCTGAGAATTTATGATCACATTAATTAAAGCGTAAAATTGACAGGCCACCAGTATGCCCAAGATCAGCAGACACACGGAAACTCCTATTGTGAACCCTGTAGGGGAGAAAAAAAACAAAGAATTCTTCAGTCATAATACATAAAAATAAAAATTTAGTATATACATAAATTGTAGTAATAATTCTTACAAATTAAAACAACAGCAATATAATTATTATTATTTATCTTTATTATTAATACTTAAGCGCCTGATGAATGATCATATAAGTATACAGTAGGCAACAACCAATGAGTGCGCAATATTTACTGACAATTCACAGATACGGTAACAATTTAATAAAAGACTAGACTAAATACTAGACTATAGACTAGACCATAGACAAGACTATAGACTAGAATATAGACTAAACTATAGACTAGACTAGACTAAAGGCTAGACTATAGACTAGACTATAGACTAGATTTTAGACTAGACTAGACTATAGACTAGACTATAGACTAGACTATAGACTAGACTATGGACTAGACTATAACTAGACTATAGACTAGACTATAGACTAGACTATAGACTAGACTATAGACTAGACTATAGACTAGACTATAGACTAGACTATAGACTAGACTATAGTCTAGACTATAGACTAGACTATAGACTAGACTATAGACTAGACTATAGACTAGACTATAGACTAGACTATAGACTAGACTATAGACTAGACTATAGACTAGACTATAGACTAGACTATAGACTAGACTATAGACTAGACTATAGACTAGACTATAGACTAGACTATAGACTAGACTATAGACTAGACTATAGACTAGACTATAGACTAGACTATAGACTAGACTATAGACTAGACTATAGACTAGACTATAGACTAGACTATAGACTAGACTATAGACTAGACTATAGACTAGACTATAGACTAGACTATAGACTAGACTATAGACTAGACTATAGACTAGACTATAGACTAGACTATAGACTAGACTATAGACTAGACTATAGACTAGACTATAGACTAGACTTTAGACTACACTATAGACTAGACTATAGACTAGACTATAGACTAGACTATAGACTAGACTATAGACTAGACTATAGACTAGACTATAGACTAGACTATAGACTAGACTATAGACTAGACTATAGACTAGACTATAGACTAGACTATAGACTAGACTATAGACTAGACTATAGACTAGACTATAAACTTGACTATAGACTATACTATAGACTAGACTATAGACTAGACTATAAACTTGACTATAGACTAGATTAGACTATAGAGACTAGACTATAGACGAGACTATAGACTAGACTATAGACTAGAATATAGACTAGACTATAGACTAGACTAAAGACTAGACTATAGACTAGACTATAGACTAGATTATTGACTAGACTATAGACTAGACTGTAGACTAGACTATATAATAGACTATAGACTAGAATATAGACTATAGGCTAGACTATAGACTAGACTATAGACTTGACTATAAACTAGACTATAGGCTTGACTATAGACTAGACTATAGACTTGGCTATAGACTAGACTATAGACTTCACTATAGACTAGACTATAGACTACAGTATAGACTAGACTATAAACTAAACCATAAGACTATAGACTATAAACTTAATACTAGATATACTATAGACTAGGTTATAGACTGGACTATAAACTAGACTATAGACAAGACTATAGAATAGACTATAGACTAGACTGTAGACCAGACTATAGACTATTCTATAGTCTAGACTATACACTAGACTATAGACTATTGACTAGACTATAGACTAGTCTATTGACTAGATTATAGACTAGACTATAGACTAGTCTACTGACTATACTATAGACTAGACTATAGACTGTAGACTAGACTAGACTATAGACTGGACAAGACTAGACTCTTCTAGACTAAATAGAGTATATAGACCACTGACTAGACCAAGGACTAAACTATAAACTACTTTTCTAAACTAGAGACTAGACTATATACTACTTTTCTAGACTATAGACTGGACTATTGTATAGTAGACTGCCGATTTCGCCATCGGCAGTAACGGATTATTCCTTTCATACATGTTATTTTTTCAGATTTTCACCGCAAGTTTACAACAGGAAATTGCCAAATCTCAACGATCTTGAGACCAAACATGTAAAATATAAAATTATCAATCTCAACTAAAATTGTAAGCAAATTCTTGCTCACATTGTAGCCATAAACATATGCAAAAAGATATTTAATTAAAGGTGCACTTATATAATGCACTGTAGGGCAAGTAAAAACAAAATACTTGCACAATAATTAAATAATTATGAACTTTTATTATTAAATACTATTACAGTTGTTGTTATTGTTATAATTTGTACCCTGCCAGCAACTCAACTAACTTTAAATGCATTAAAAGTCGACTTTTTCATCAACTAGTTATGGTTGATTCTTGGATTATTTTTAATGGAGCCAACTGACTATTTTAACATGGCGATGTCCTACGCAGTAGTCAGTTGTCCGACTGTGCATGACTTTTCAACTAGCTTAAAGTTAGTTGCTAAAAAATTAACTTAAAGGTAACTCTTTATTAACTAACTTAAAGTTAGTTGCAGAAAAGTCAAGTAATAGTTTTCTTTTGTATTCCCAACTGTATTAATTAATTTCATGTTAATTAAATATATTTAAAATTTAACTACTAGTTATCTAAATTACATTTCGCTTTAATACAAGTTATGATATTAGTTCGTTAAAATTAATAGACATCAGTTTTCTGCAGGGGAACTAATAATAACACCGGTATCCATAAAATTATGAATGATTTGTTCATTATTTCCATGATTCCCATTGATCCAAATCTAAAATTAATTTTAAAATGTTATGTGTAATGTTAACTGTTAATGTATTATATTTACAGTATTAATCAGCAGAATTTAGAATTTAGGGACCGAGTTTTGAAATATTTAACCTTTTATAATTAATTTTTCCAATTTACTGACTCTAATTTCACAACGTATACAAGAAAATGACAAAAATGTAAAACAAAATTCCAAATAATAAAGAAACATGATAAAACATGTCGAAACAAAATGCTCTCCATATAATTTTGGGGTACTCCCGCATTATATGATAGTTAGCTTGTAGCTAGTATTTAAAAGTCGGTTGTTTACGTTAATAAATACCAAATTTTGGAACATTTCTGCATTACATTGTTGTTCGTTTATAGTCAGTTAAAGTTAACAAATAAAATCATAATAATAGAGAAACAAGAGAAAACATGTTGAAATACAATTAATTCTCTCCAGATAATTTTGAGGCACTTCTGCATTACATTATAGTTAGCTTGTAGTTAGTATTTAAAAGTCGATTCTTTACGTTGCCAAATACAAAATTTCGGAACAGCTCTGCATTACATTGTATTTAGCTTATAGTCAGTCTGTAAAAGTAAACTAGAAGTGAATTTTTCTCGTAGTCGACTACAAAATTGCTGGCAGGGTATATACAATAAGAAGAGTACAAATACAACTACATATTTATAACGTAAAAGACTACGTTCGACAATTACATATTTATTTCTTTAGTACATTTTGCTGGCTATTTAGTGATCTTAACTTGTCACGTCTTGTCATACAGACACAGTCCATCATACAAAGTGCAATTTCATTTTTATTACATACATCCATACTATATAAATAGTATACGACATTATTACAATAATCAAAACGTTCCCTCGCCAACAACAAGTGAAAACATTTTTATTTAAATTTCATTTGAATTCGTTTTTTTTTTTTTGGATTTTTATTTAATTTTTTTTTATAATATTGCACATTGAGTTGCATTTAAATCATGTTTAATTAATTGTAATGAACGTGTGTTAGTTATTGGATAATACATTTTTACAATGACTAGTAGTTCCAGCAACCAAGAATCAGGCGGACATATATATGGATTTCTCCATTTTATGGTCTTAATGTCACATCTATTTATAAAAGTGTTTTTATGATGAATAAGTGAATTCTCGGGAAATGTATTTAAAATGTTAGACATCGCGTTTCTTTTAACAATTTCTTAGAATCTTTTTTTCGAAGAGGGGAATTAAACTTTTTTGCTCTTTTCCACATGAATCAGTTTAATCAGAAAATAATTATCTTATTATCTAGTTTATAATTTGTTGTATTAATTAAAACTAAATAAGTAAAATCTTATAAATTATTTAATATTTATGCCATTATTTTAGAAAGCAATTATAGTTGTATTTTGTTTTACTTTATGCCTAATTCATATGAAAATAGTTTTTTTTTATTATTAATTATAATTTAAATAATATTTTTTCTGCTTTATATTAGAGACTTTTTTAAATAATCCGCTGCAACAATTATTTAATCTGAAACGTAACTGGAAAAATATTTTGTTCGTTTTCTGATGCTGTGTGTGTTTTAATTTGAAATAATTAGTCAAGTAAAATCAAGTACGATCGTACAAGTTATGTATTTTATAGAAATATAGAGTGTAAGTTATTTTTTTCATGGGAATTTTTTATTTTATAAGATTCTAGAAAGTAAAACAATTAAATTAGATTAGTGTTGTTTTTTTTTTTTTTAACATAAATTTTTGGTATTCAGTTATAAGGATAAGACTATGTCAATTTCTGTAATAAAGAAGATTGCGTACGTAACATTTTACCAGAATATTACGTAGATTGTAGTTCAGATTGTAGACTAGATTGTAGTATAGATTTTAGATCAGACTGTAGTATAGACTAGCGGCCGGACTAGGACACAAACTAAATTGTACCAGATTGGACTGTAGTCCATACTACATGATTGCAGTCCAGACTATATACTTAACTGTAGACTAGACTATGGACGAGACTGTATTCTAGACAATAGACTAGACTGTAGTCTAGACCATAGTCTAGACTATAGACTAGAAGATAGACTAGACTATGGGCTAGACTATACTATAGACTTGACAATAGACTAGACTATAGACTAGACTATAGACTAAACTATAGACTATACTATAGACTAGACTATAGACTAGACTATATACTAGACTATAGACTAGACTATAGACCATAGACTATACTATAGAATAGACTATAGCCTAGACTATAGACTAGACTATAGACTATACTATAGACTAGACTATAGACTAGACTATATACTAGACTATAGACTATACTATAGAATAGACTATAGACTAGACTATAGACTAGACTATAGACTAGACTATAGACTAGACTATATACTAGACTATAGACTATACTATAGAATAGACTATAGCCTAGACTATAGACTAGACTATAGCTAGACTAGACTATAGACTAGACTATAGACTAGACTATAGACTAGACTATAGACTAGACTATAGACTAGACTATAGACTAGACTATAGACTAGACAATAGACTAGACTATAGGCTAGACTATAGGCTAGACTATAGACTAGACTATAGACTAGACTATAGACTAGACTATAGACTAGACTATAGACTAGACTATAGACTAGACTATAGACTAGACTATAGACTAGACTATAGACTAGACTATAGACTAGACTATAGACTAGACTATAGACTAGACTATAGACTAGACTATAGACTAGACTATAGACTAGACTATAGACTAGACTATAGACTAGACTATAGACTAGACTATAGACTAGACTATAGACTAGACTATGACTAGACTATAGACTAGATAGACTAGACTATAGACTAGACTATAGACTAGACTATAGACTAGACTAGACTAGACTATAGACTAGACTATAGACTAGACTATAGACTAGACTATAGACTAGACTATAGACTAGACTATAGACTAGACTATAGACTAGACTATAGACTAGACTATAGACTAGACTATAGACTAGACTATAGACTAGACTATAGACTAGACTATAGACTAGACTATAGACTAGACTATAGACTAGACTATAGACTAGACTATAGACTAGACTATAGACTAGACTATAGACTAGACTATAGACTAGACTATAGACTAGACTATAGACTAGACTATAGACTAGACTATAGACTAGACTATAGACTAGACTATAGACTAGACTATAGACTAGACTATAGACTAGACTATAGACTAGACTATAGACTAGACTATAGACTAGACTATAGACTAGACTATAGACTAGACTATAGACTAGACTATAGACTAGACTATAGACTAGACTATAGACTAGACTATAGACTAGACTATAGACTAGACTATAGACTAGACTATAGACTAGACTATAGACTAGACTATAGACTAGACTATAGACTAGACTATAGACTAGACTATAGACTAGACTATAGACTAGACTATAGACTAGACTAGACTAGACTAGACTATAGACTAGACTATAGACTAGACTATAGACTAGACTATAGACTAGACTATAGACTAGACTATAGACTAGACTATAGACTAGACTATAGACTAGACTATAGACTAGACTATAGACTAGACTATAGACTAGACTATAGGACTAGACTATAGACTAGACTATAGACTAGACTATAGACTAGACTACAGACTAGACTATAGACTAGACTAGACTATAATCTAGGCTGTAGACTATATTGTAGACTATAGACTAGACTACAGACTAGACTAAAGACTAGACTACAGACTAGACTATAGACTAGACTATAGACCAGACTATAGACTAGACTATAGACTAGACTATAGACTAGACTGTAGACTAGACTACAGACTAGACTATAGACTACACTAGACTATAATCTAGGCTGTAGACTATATTGTAGTGTGGACTATAGAATAGACTGTATACTATTTTGTAGGCTAGACTGTAGTCTAAACTATAGACTAATCTCTTGTGAAAACTACAAACTAGACTAGGATGAAGTATTAGGGTAGAATATAGCCTAGGCTATTCGTTAGACTATAGTCTAGGCTATATGTTATACCTTAGACTAGGCTGTGGTTCACACAATAGTATAGGCTATAAGTTAGACTATAATTCTACTGAATCTAAACTGTAAACTGTATCTAATAATTCGCAATCTATAAAATTTAAAAGAATTTGCCATAATTTAAAATAATTCCTACAGACCACTTTGCGGACCTATATTTGGAAACCATAGATATATGGTATAAATATCCATTACTCATTACTTTGTTAGCACTAAAGCTGTATTTGAATTCTAATTAGATTTTTTTATAATTATATTTTGATTCGTATTTCATTCTAAACTATTTAAGGAAATTTGTTTTTACACAAAGTCTTTCCCTTGAAGGAAGCCTCATTTAGCTGTCAACTGACAAATAAAATTACAACAAAACCACAAATATGACATATAATATGATAAAGCCGAGATAGATGCTGTTGTTGTTTTTGAAATTGATAATAAAACAGCAATTTGTTAATTTAGCAAATAAAAATTTCTAATAATTGTTGATTACAAACAAGTAATATTAATAATAATGAAAAAAGTATTTGTTTGTATGTTTATAGATGGAGAGATAGAGATTGTTGATTCAATGTTAAAATTTAATTAAACAAATAGGAATATTAATTAGTAATTAATAAAAATATAATAATTCAACACAATTATACATATATACCTAACTACATACATACATACGTACAAATATAAAATGCGAATTCATTAAGTAACGCTAAAGTATCAATAGATTTAATTTATTTAATTATAAGGAATATTTTTAAGATTTAATTTCAGTTTTTTTTTATAGTTAAATTAATACTTACACCATTTTCTCAGATATGTACTGGATAATTTTGTACAAAGTTTGTGCTTTTGACCATTCATAGTAATTTCATACAGTTACAAAG